GTCATCCATGACAGATGGACTGGCACCCACCACCACAAATACAACAAGCTTAGCCATGCAAACACACACCCTATCAGTCGATCCCTTAATTACTCGTGACCAGATCACCTCAATTGTCCCCATCGGCCACAAGAGATCACCAACCTTGACCAATCCCTTGGCTTCAATGATCCACAATACATCCAAGACCCCTTTAGCTCGGCTCACCCACACAGGTCGACCGATTGATCCTTTCAGATACCATTCGGCTCGGCTCGGCTCATACTAACGGGTTGAACGACACCCAAACCGCACCTTTAACCGTCCATGTCGGTGGAAGCACCCGAACAGTAACACTTGGGATGACTCACTATGAAGGAATGAATGGAGTCTAGAAAACACAAGATAGCCACAAGGCCTACCACAATGACTCGACTCACCCCACCAGACTAAATGGGAGAAACACACAGCATCAAACCATGGACCCAGACCTTTTGTCCGCAACTTCTCCTCTTAAGTAGATATTAGCAAAGAAGCTGGTTGACGTGAAAGCTATGATGAGACGCATACCTGGAGTACCTATCCCAGCCAAGAAGAGCCTTTCCCAGAGTTACGCCGACTCACCCTTCTTAGACTCTATAGCCTTAGTTGAGATGCCCCAGAAATTTTCCATCCCAAACATGAAACCATATGAGGGAATGACCGATCTAGACAATCATATAGCTTCATACAAACAGAAGATGTTTGCTGTCTCCATACCATGGGACCTCGGGGAAGCATGTATGTGCAAGAGCTTTGGTTCTAGTTTATTAGGCCCAACCCTTTAGTGGTACACCAACCTCTCTAACAACTTCATAGGCTCATTTGTCTAGCTCACTGACACATTCGTTAAGCAGTTTGCAAGCAGCAAGAAGTTAGAGAAGCTATCATCCGACTTATACAAGATTTATCAGAAAAGAGGAGAGCCGTTGCATGAGTATGTTAGTTGGTTCAATAAAGAAAAGATATCAATCCCATCTTGCCATCTTGAACCTGCAGTAAATGCTTTTAGAAAGGGGTTGTTTCCTGACGGGGAACTCTACAAAGACCTCACCAAGCTGGGTTACAATTCAATGGAGGACATCTTGGCCCGAGTGATCATCTAGATAAGGTGGGAAGAAGATGAGGTACACCGGAGAAGGCATACATCCTACGATGAACATCGACAAAACTATAGTGAGAGGCACCCAGACACATGATAGTATGAAGCAAACAACTCGGCTCTAGCATGGAATTCCAACAAAAACAATTAGAAACTGTATGATCGGTTGCCAGCCCGGCCTGCATATAAACCATCCAACCCTTCTTCGTTCGTGGTCCTTGAGTGCAACCTCAATGTTGAGCCAACACAAGTGGTTGCCATAATGAAGGGGATGGGTCTAGCAGTTAAGTGGCCATCTAAGCTAGGATTGGATGCCAAGAGAGACACTACCAAGTGGTGCGAATTCCACCATGACCATATACATAATACTGTCGACTGCATAGCTTTGAGATTGGAAGTCGCGACCTTACTTAAGACAAGACATCTTCGCGACTTATTGATCGACAAAGGTAAAAGCACAATAAAAAACAGAGACAAGAAGAACCGATCCTCCCCTCCGCCTAACCCAAAGCCGAAAGGATTTTACAACATGATATCAAGCGGTTTCGAATTAGTAGAGTCAGCTACTCCTCGCAAAGAGGCACGCTTGAGCAAGCTATCATCTGGAAGTTCATTCTTCCCATCCATCCACACAGAAGCCTACTCAGCAAGTCATCCAGTTCGAAGACGAAGAACTAGCCACCTTGGCAGCCCTGCGCCATGATGCCTTGGTTATCTCATTACAAATAGCAAATATTTTGATAGAAAGAGTGTTTGTAGATGGAGGATTTTCCTCCAACATTCTCTTCCTAGAGGCAATCAGGACAATAGGCCTGGACGAATAAGATATTAGCAGGTGTCCCACCATCCTAGTCAGATTCAACTTTGAGCAAAAGTATACTATTGTAGAGATAACCTTGCCTGTCTACATGAATGAAGTAAACCGACAAACCATTTTCCTTGTGATGGATTGCCGTTCACCTTACAACGCCATCCTAGGTAGACCATAGATTCATGACATGAGAGCTGTCCCTTTAACCTTCTATCAGACAATTAGATTCCCTATCAAATAGGGAGTGAGAGAGATAAAGGGCGATCCAAAGTCCTCTAGAGAGTATTACAAAAATGCTTTCAAGGGAAAGTCTAACACCTTATAGCAACTACAGACGAGTTCGACTCGCCCAGTCGAGCCTGACCAACCCTCCATGGAAGAGCTAGATGAAGTATAGATTGATCTCGATCATCCCGTCTAAAAGACTTAGATAGGATACAGGTTGAGTCTCGAAATCAGAGAGTGACTGATTAATTTCCTACAGTAGAATCAAGACTGCTTTGCTTGGTCCTATGCAGGTATGACAAGGATCAGTCTTGACACAATCATGCATCATCTCTAGGTCGACCCCGACTGTCACCTGGTAAGACAAAAACAGAGAAAGTTCGCCCCAGAGTGAAACCGAGTGATCAACAAAGAAGTAGAAAATCTCCTGAACAATGGGCTCATTCGGGAAGTCCACCACCTCGACTGGTTAGCTAATGTGGTCATCATCCAAAAGAAGAATGGGAAGTGGCGAGTCTGCATGACCTGAATAGAGCCTACCCCAAGGACTCCTTCCCTCTGCCACACATTGATATGCCAGTCGTCGCTATAGCAGGCCACGAGTTACTTAGTTTCATGGACGCTTTCTTAGGGTACAATCAGATATTTATGCATTCGGACGACCAAGAGAAAACCTCATTCATCATAGAGAGGGGACTTACTATTATAAAGTGATGCCGTTTGGACTCCAGAATGCTAGGGCCACCTATCAACGACTTGTTAACAAGATGTTCGCAACACTTGGGGACTACCATGTAAGTATATATCGACGACATGTTCATCAAATCACTTCAAACTGGGCAGTACCTAGACCACTTTAGTCAGGCGTTTGTAGTTCTGAGGAAGTACAACATGAAGCTCAACCTAGCCAAGTGTTCACTTAGGGTCTCTTCTCGTAAGTTCGTGGGTTATATGGTGACTCAACGCGGGATATAAGCTAACCCCAATCAGATCCAAGCCGTCCTAAACATCCTATCACCGACATGCATCAAAGATGTTTAGCATTTCTCTAAAAGAGTGGCTGCACTAAGCAAATTTATCTCTCGGTCGATAGACAAATGTTAACCCTTCTTTGCGGTACTTCGAAAGTCAAAGTAATTTGAATGGACCCCAACCTGCGAAGAAGCTCTGTAGAAACTCAAAAGGTACTTGACTTCTCCACCTTTACTTTCTAAACCACTAACTAGAGAAAAAATTATCTACATACCTGACAGTCTTGGAGTCGACAGTTTTAGCCATCCTGATTACGGAAGACAATGTGAAGTAACTACCAGTTTATTTGAGCAAGTCACTCCTTGACGCCAAGTCTCGGTATAGTTAGTTGGAGAAGTTGCCCCTAGCACTCATTCACGCCTCTAAGAAGCTTCGACCATATTTTCAATGCCATTCCATAATTGTGGTCACTACATATTTGCTTAAGAAGATTCTACATACACGAGCTTTTGGGGCGACTCACTCAATAGATAGTCGAGCTAAGTGAATTCGACGTCTCATTCCAACTGCACATGACCGTAAAGTCACAAGTGTTAGAAAATTTCATAGCAGACTTCACCCCTAGCACCTCCACTCAGGCAGAGAAAGAGCTACAATGCCTATCAAGTGAGAAACCTTTAAAGTGGCCACTCTTGGTCGACGGATCGATCAATGTGAATGACAACGGCTTGAGAATCGTGCTAATAACTCCAGATGGGAAAATCATCCAGCGGGCCATCCGGTGCAGCTTTAAATGCATAAATAATGAGGCCGATTATGAGGCTTTGATAGCCGGTCTCTCACTCGCATAGGAGATGAGGGTAACAAGGTTGGAAGTGAAGTTTGATTCTTAGTTGATAGTCAATCAACTTCAAGGAACCTACAAGGCTAGAGACTCAAAGATGATAGCCTACTTGAACCTGGTGAAAGAGCTGCAGTCTGCCTTCAAAAAATTCATGATCACCCAAGTACCAAGAAAAGAAAATACATACACTGATGCCCTCGCCAATCTTGGCTCGGCCCTTCAAGGTACGTCTGACTCTTCCATCCCACTTATTTTCCTCCAATGGCTAGCCAACTGGAAAACGCCTCCATCCGAGGCAATATTGGTCCCTAAAGAACCTTAAGAGGTCATGAACATCGAGCCAGCCAAATCATGGTTGACTTCGATTCTGAAATACTTAGAGAAAGATGAGCTTCCTGTAGACAAGAATGAAGCATGTCGTCTGAGGGGTCGTCTGATTCATAATCTATGAAGGACAACTCTTGAAGAAGTCATTTTCTGGCCCATACATCCAATGCATAATTCCAAAAGAAGCCCAGTATGTATTAGCAGAACTTCATGAAAGCGAATGTGGAAACCACACTGGGGGACACGGCCTGGCACACCGGGTGATCACCTCTGGTTTTTATTGGCCCACCATGCGCTCGGACTCAATCGCATACATCAAGAAGTGCGACAGTTGCCAAAGTTTTGCTAATGTTTCACACCTTCCCCCCGAACAACTTAACTTTGTACTAACCCCTTGGCCATTCATGAAGTGGGGAATGAACATAGTGGGCAAGCTTCCAACGACACCTAGGTAGCGAGTGTACATGTTGGCTGTGATAGACTACTTTACTACGTGGATAGAGGCAGAAGCATTCGCCCAAGTATGAGACCGGGAGGTAAAAGGCTTCATCTAGAAGAACTATAATGATTTATACATTTATNAATTTATCTAAACTAGCCATTACCCCCATCTTTTCAAAATCAGCCTGAGAAGAGCTACTAGAGGATACAGTGAAACTATAAGATTGATGTGTTTGGCAGCCTTGGTGGTTACGCTGTTACTAAACATACAAATCATTACATAATCTCCGAATCCTCATAATCTCATCTACACCATCCTCTCCATAAAGCAAAGGAAAAAAGAAATCTAACAACTTCATTTTAAACCTAGGGTCTAAAACCATTACAATCCCCATGACACCATTAATCACACTCCAATACTTTTTTAACTTTTCATCCATCTGAGTTGCCATCTTCCTCACCAAATCATCCTCATCTGTTAGCATTTTAGTCACACGAAGTCTAATTTCACAAATCTTTGGAAAATAAGAATTGGCAATGGGTTTTTCTGTTGCAAAGAATACAAGTGTGGTATCATAAAATATTTCTAGCTTCTCATTGATATTTTCTACAAACTCCCATTCTTCATCACTTGGTAAACATCTATAATTTGGATCTTGAAACTCTAAACGCCTAAATACCCCTTTATAAATGAAAGCTGTTTGAAGCATCAAATACGTTGAATTACAACGTGTCTTACAATCAAGACCTGGCTTCTTTGTGCTTGGAATGCCTGCATGACGTGCCATTTCCACAAATTTTTGCTCCCTTTTAGGCGATGCCATCCAATAGGAAACAGTTTCACGATTTTGGATATTGCTACTCCAATAATCGATAATCCATCATGAACAGCTAAATTGAGATTATGCACACAACAATGCATATGAAAAAATTCGCCATGTAACATAAGGGTGGAACGTTGAAGCTCACCTAAAATATCTTGGACAACTGCATCATTGGTGGAGCAATTGTTAACCGTCAATGCAGACAGCTTTGAATCAATGTTCCACTCAGAAAAGCAGTCCATCAACACCGTAGAAAGCACATCTCTAGTATGTGGGCAACGCACATGTACAAACCTACAATATAAATTGTAGATAATTAATATTTTAATTTATCTTAAATATTTACAAAGAAATAAAATAATGAAACATAAAAATTAAAAAACAAAATACCTTAAAAGTTGATTATGCAATACCCAATTATCATTAATAAAGTGCACTGTGATGGTCATACATCCTTTGTTCTGGTTGCTGGCAGTCCATAAATCAGTAGTGATGGCAACTCTACTCTGGTTCTTGCTTAACATTTTCATGGACTTCTCTTTCTCAACTTCATACATCTTCATAATGTCTCTCTTAATAGTTCTCCTAGAGACAATATTGAAGGAGGGTGAAATAGTGTTGCAGAATTTTCTAAACCCCAAATCGTCAACCATGCTCAACGGATACTCATGAAGAATAATCATATTAGCAAAATCATCTCTCCCTGCATGTTGATCTAAATGGTAATTGCTTAATGTCTTTATGGAATCTTGTTTTTGCATCCCCGCAAGCATCATTTGTGATACATCTTGATTCTTTTGCCTTGCAGAAATTTTATAATGATCATGCAAATGCCTTGTTCCATTTTTAGAACCACCGAATAGCTGCCGATGATAGTAATTACACTCCGCCTTTTCCTTCCCATCAACTATGAATTTTTTGAAATGTTGCCATACAACTGACCTAGTCCTTCCAGTTCCAGTGATATAAGTTTCCTTTGGGGGAAGCGGGGGAAGGGTTGAACAAGGGGTATCGGTCGTGATTGGTATGCTAGTTCCCTGAGCTGGAGATTGTTCTTTGTCATTCCCATCGGGTGGAATATTCATGTGGGAACTCGCAATAGATACTTTTTTGGATGCTTCAGAAGATCAGTTCACATCCTCTTCTAAACCCCTTCTTTTGGTTGATGTTGACATTGTATAATATAACCTATTAATAACCTGCAGATAACACCCACAAAAGAATAAACATGTTAAAAAATAACTGCAAAAAAACCCCTACAGCAGTTTACACATTTGTTAAAAAAAAATTGTAATTGCAAAAAAAATAATAATAAATAAACATGTTAAAACAAGTGCGAACTGTAGTGCACTTTGCACAAGCAAAACTGCAAAAACTGCACAGCAGATGCAAAAGCAAACTGCAGTGTGGTTTGCTTGGCAATGTGCATTGCAGTTCGCACTTTGCACAAGCAAACTATAATGTAGTTTGCACTTTGCCAGATAAAAAAGCAAACTGCAGTGCATGTGCAAACATAAACTGCAATTACTAAATTTTCAAGCACATAAAATCTTCAATCACATCACATGAACCAATCTAAACCCTTAAACCCCACATAAAATCTTTAATCATAACTCAATTAATCTAAACCCTTAACTCCACACAAAATCTTCCAGTATAACTATAGTGCATAACTCAATCAAACAATCTAAATGGCACATAAAATCTTCACTCATACGAACCAAAATTGATGAAAGTCTGAAACTTTAAAGGAAAACAAACCTATTTTTCTTGAATCTTGAGTTCTTAACGCAAAGGGCATGGAGAAAGAAGAGGTGAAAAGCCACCGATGAAATGTGGAGGCCGGAATCGGCGAAGAGGCGGTGATATTCTGATATTCAGGATTTCTGGTGAAGGTTTGACGATGAAGAGAAGAGGCATATCAAGCAGCAACTTTTTTCAAGATTAGGTATTTAGGGTTTCACTTTCAAACTTTGATTACTTGGGTCCCTTGCGAGTTGAATGGATTTGGGCATAATTTTTGTTTATAAAGGAAGGGGCAAAATTGTTACTATGAAAACATAACAAGGGAAAATGGTAATTATGTAATGGAAAGATGGAATTGCAAATTTGAAATTCCTTGAAAACGAAGGACAAAGTCCTGGTCCATACTTCATTACTCCACAAGGTGTCAAGGACTTTATTTATAAATTATAATGATTAAAAATAATTATAATGATTTATACATTTATTATAATCAATAGCGAATCCAAAAATTTCTGTTAGGGTAGGCCAAAATCTAGAAATTATACATATTAGTATTTTTTTGTTAAAATGCTCACCCTCAACAAGTGTTGGATTCACCCCTGATTAATGATTATAATGAATCCAAATATCAAAATGATAATTATAATACATTATACAAATATATAAATATATTATATATTAACAGTATAATATTATGTATTATTGTATTAAGTAATAAGTATTAACATATATAATGTCTCTTTAATATATAATGTATTATATATGATACATTATACATATATATTATAATAAATTTTAAATAAATAACTACCATATATATTATAATAAATTCTAAATAAATAGCTATCACAATTCACAATATAACAAAGGCAATTAGGTAATAGAATTGAAATAATGATTCAATAAGGGACAAAAAAAAAAAAATTATAATGATTTATTGATTCATTATAATCAATCAAAACAACAAATAATATATTACATATATATTATGTATTAACATAAGATTATAGATAATAGCATATTACGTATAAATTATAATGTACAACATACATGTGTTATATTCATTATACTTATATAGTATATACCATATATAATATATAATATATAATGTATAATGTCAAATGTATACCATATATAATGTATAATATATAATGTCGAATGCATAACTTTTGTTTTATAGCATTAACATATTATGTATAATATATATATATTACAAATATTTATAATGATTTATTATATTTAATCTAGTTTTATTTATTACCTATTTGTATATAGTTTCATAAAATACTTACATAATTATAATTTATCATTGTATAATATATAATTGATTTTCAAATATTAAAATTATTATAGGTATATATGATTGATTTTCAAATATTAAAATTAATATAGGTATATATGATTGATTTTTAATTATTAAAATTAAAATTTATATATATATATATAATATACGGGTCGGGCTGGGGATTTCAGGGCCGGGGTGAGCCGGGGAAAAACCTATCCTGGCCCTGGCCCATCCCCGAATTTCGGGATTAATCTTAGGCCCGATCCCTACCCAAAGCCTGAACGATTCTGGAAAAATCTGCCCCATTCGGCCAGGCCGGGTTGGGTCCCCGTGGGGCCGGGCTTTGTACCCATCCCTATTCAAGTCAACTAATTTGTCAGCTTTTATATCATTCTCGTAAAATTTGGACCTTTATAACTGAAGTATAAATTCTTGTAAAATTAAATTTTTTTTAATGAAATTTTGTAATATTGGCACGTGTTTGATGAATCTCTATTTATTGGACTAGTTTCATTCACTTAGGATCCAATAACATTTTTTTTTTTAAAATTTTGTATCTTATTATATATTATATGTGCATATAAATTTTTCTATAGACTTCTAGTTCACTCTATAGAAAAATATAAATTTTAATATCATATAAATATTTAACAAACCATTAAGAGAAAATAAACTTAAATATGATATGGGTAACTTATTTCAAGATCATTTAGAAAATGCTAAAATAAGCTTTTTAATTTAAAAAGAATTAATTATTTTCCATGAAAAAAAAAATTGTTAACAATCTTTTGGACAAGTTCGGTCCCAGTACTTTATGGGTGCGTTTGATTTAGGGAATGTTGAATTACTGGGATTGTTATATTAATAGAAAGTTAGATTACTTTGAATATTACTGGGAATCTTTAAGGAAATGTATTTGATTAGTTTGAATAAATTGGTAGGAATCTTCGTTTGACTCCAATGGTAACATAACTTTTATGCCCATGAGTAATTTGTTTCTACTAAAAAAGTTTGTATTTATTTAAAGCACATATCTTATTAGATTGTGTTATAAACATTTTACGACTGAATACTATAAAATTTTGTTTTAATGTTAATTGGCATCATCTAATGAAATGATTAAGTTTTGATAAACTAATCGATTAAGTAATATTATAGATTCTAGAAGTGATCATTCAACCCCATTGGCGGAGAGATCATTTTCAATGTCATCAACAACATCAAGTAACTTGAGTGCTCTAGATAATGTAAATTAAAGAGCGGAGGATTTCATAAAAAATATACCCATGAATTTTAAATGCGAGAGACAAATGGACAATAACCCTTGGGAATCGCTTGTAACCCACGCAAGAGACAAATGAACTTTCTATTGTTATATTGTTTCTGATTATAATGTTTTTATCTCAATGAATAGATAAACGTTAAATTAGCGTTTATTATAATGGATAAATACTATTTATAAATGAAAATTTTCAACCTTTTATCATTGATACTTTATGAAAAAGTTGATTAATCAAGATTTTTAAACAAAAAATTTATTGCAATTTGTTGCGTAGACGGGCATGGGGAAGCATCAAGATAGAGCTAGTATTCGCCCTACATTGGATGCTTCATCAGTTTCAGACTCTCAGTTATAGCTTGTGTTAAATGTAAAATAAAAAACATGAAATCAAAATGTTGTAAATCAATACCAATCCTTCAACCTGCAAGATTAGTCACAACACAAAACAGAAACTGCAAAAACAACGAACAATCACACAACACAAGATATACCGTGGTTCGCTTGTTCAATATAGAACAAGTTACATCCACGTTGAACTCCAGAATATGGAGCTCGCTGCACTAGTATTGATCACCTCAAAGATTACACTTTACAGAAGAATCTTCTTCACTGTCACTCACAGAATCAAACACTCATTCATTTCCCTGTATCCCGCAAATCCTAATAAACCCTAGAGTACTCTATACCCTTTAAGGAACCCCTGCCCTCAAACAATACTCTAGAAAGATTCACACAAAGAAAACCCAGAATGAGCGTGAAACCCTAACCCAGAAAAAACGATTTCACAGAGTAGACGAAACGAAGACCTAAAACTCGATTCCCCTCAAATGCGTGAATAGTCCCTTTNATTATGTCAAACAATGAAAAATAACAACAATAATTATTGCTTTGAAACGAGTATAACCCACCTCTGCATCTGCATCCTCTGCCCCACCAACTTTGGTATTGCCATTCACCCTCTGGGCATCTTCTGTTACAATAACAAATAAGAGGAAATTAGACCGAAGATCTTTAATCAAACTAACAAACCCCTGAAGCTGGCATAAGAGATTAACCATCCACTGATTCTGAATCTCTAAATTCCTCAATGCCTTAGCCTTATACTTATCAGCAACTATCCCTACACATCTCTGAACACCACTCCCACATATTTCAGTCACCGTCTCCCATAAAATCTCTTTTGCATACTTAGATGAAACTAATCCTTCAGTAATGACAGCCTTTTGGTACACACTAGTCCTATTAGGTAAATTAACAGTAAACTTAACTAAATTGGGTTAAACAATCAACAATATGCTGAAATTATTAAATTAACGTAATTGATAATTTGACATGCATAAATAAAACGTCCATGATGCTTCCAACTGGAAGGGATGGTCAAAATTTACTTAAGTCAACGCCATGCATTGACAATATTCATCACTGTAATGTTCAGATTACACAATCAAACCTAATTAACCACAGCAGCCATTAGAAACACAAATCAAACAAACAAAATCAAACCAGTCACTAAGTTTGAATCAAATCCAGCCACCAACAATCTTTGGAAACACACAAAAAACCAAACCCAATCAAGACAGTTTGAATCAAACCCAGCCTCCATCAACCTTGTAATTCAAAACGCAAATCAATAATTCAATACTAATGAACAATAGAAGGTTTGTAACCGGGACAAAGAGAGAAGGCACCATATTACGGTGCCATTAACATCAAACTCAAATCAACATCAAAACAAAAACACCCATCAAATTGTACCATTAAGTCATTAACTAACCATCACCAACAATAATAAAGAAATAAGCACCATGTATTCGCACCAGGCTATTACGGTGTGGCAGCAGTCGCCGTAGGCTGTGACAACAATCGATTTGGGGCTTCAATCATCAGAGAGACTGAGATCTGAGAGTGTTCGAGCGAGAGAGAGTGAGACACCGAGAGAGTTGAGACTCTTGAGAGTGTTCGAGCGAGAGAGAGTGAGACACCGAGAGAGTGGCTGACTGACTTTGTGTCTGTCTGTGCGTATTCGAGCGAGAGAGTCAGAGAGTTGAGCGAGAGAGACAGAGTGAGATTGAGATGAGATCTGGTGATTCTGGTCTGAGAGAGTGAAAGGCTTAAGGCTGTGCGTGTTTGAGGCTTTGAGCAAGAGAGACAGTGAGAAACTGAGACGACAGACGAGATCTGGTCTGAGAGAGTGAAACTGTGACTCTGTGAGAGGTTGTACGACTGTGTATGAGCGTGACTGCGTGTTCGTGTTCGAGCGAGAGAGACACTGAGACAGAGAGTGAGACTATTTTTCGTTGGAGACTTGGAGTATAGATAGACTGTTAGTGACTTAGTGTTAGGGTGAATTTAATTTTGAAAACTCAAAACGACGTAGTTTAGCAAAATCCGGATCGAATACGGATATCCGATTTTTTAATAATCTCGATCCGGTATCTGATCCGAATATTCAAATTTTGCTAAATTCTAATCCGTATCCGATTTTAATTTTCAGATATCTGAATTTTCCGGAGCGGAGCGGAGCGAATTAGGATCGGATATCGGATATCGGATTTTTTTTGCACAGCCCTAGAAGCATCAAGATAGAGCTAGTATTCGCCCTACATTGGATGCTTCATCAGTTTCAGACTTTCAGTTATAGCTTGTGTTAAATGTAAAATAAAAAANTGTCCTTGATTTGCTTAATGAAAGAGGCTTGCTAGGGTGTAAACCAACAGAAACACCTATTGAGCTTAACCTCAAATTACAGCCTCCTAAACCTGAAGAAGTCCTGGACAGAGAACAATACCAGAGACTTGTTGGAAAACTGATTTACTTGTCGTATACTCGTCCAGATATAGCATTTGCAGTTAGCATGGTTAGTCAGTTTATGCATTCGCCTGGACAAGAACATTTCAATGCAGTCTATAGAATTCTCACGTATTTGAAAGGGACTCCTGGAAGAGGTTTGTTATTCAAGAATCCTGGGCACTTGCAAGTTGAAGCCTATATTGATGCGGATTGGGCTGGAAATGTTGTTGATAGACGATCAACTTTTGGCTATTGCACATTTGTTGGTGGCAATCTTGTTACATGGCAAAGCAAGAAGCACAATGTGGTGGCAAGAAGCAATGCAGAAGCTGAGTTTAGATCAGTTGCTCATGGGATTTGTGAGTTGTTGTGGATTAAGAGACTCTTGGAAGAATGTTTCTGATCCACTGCCCATGAAAGTGTATTGTGACAATAAAGTTGCTATTTCAATTGCTCATAATCCAGTGCTTCATGATAGAACAAAGCATGTGGAGGTCGACAAACACTTCATCAAGTAAAAACTAGGGAAAGGATTGATCTGTATACCTTACATTCGCACTACTCAACAAGTCGCAGATGCGCTTACTAAGGGGCTTCCTATTGGGCAATTCAACGAGCTAATTGGCAAGCTGGTTATGGAGGATATCTTCAAACCAGCTTGAGGGGGAGTGTAGAAAAGGAAAGAAATATTTGTAATTATAGAGAATTATTAGTTGTAAATGAGAATAAGTCAAATTAGGAATTAGCTAGTACAGCTAGATAGCTGTAAATTAGGAATTAGCTAGTACAGCTAGATAGCTAATTTTTAGTTAGTTTCCTATTTTTATTCTTTGGTTATTTTCCTGATTTGATGTATTCTCCTCTATAAGAGAAATCCATGTAACTCTTTACTCAATAGACAAATGTACAGAAAAGCTTTCAATATTATAATAAATTTTAAATAAATATCTACCACAATATAACATAAGCAATTATATAATAGAATTGAAATAACGATTCAATGAAAGACAAAAAAAAAAAAAAAAAAAAATTATAATGATATATTGATTCATTATCATCAATCAAAACAACAAATAATATATTACATATATAGGTATATATGATTGATTTTCAAATATTAAAATTATTATAGGTATATATGATATATTTTCAAATATTAAAATTAATATATGTATGTATGATTGATTTTTAATTATTAAAATTAATATATATATATATATATATACGGGCTGGGCTGGGCTGGGGATTTCGGGGCCGAGGCAAAATGGGGCTGGGGCAAGACCTATCCTGGCCCCGAATTCCGGGGCTAATCTTAGGCCCGATCCCGGCCCAAAACCTGCATAATTCAGGGAAAATCCACGGGGACAGGCTTTGTGCCCATCCCTAATCGTAAGACTTCAGTATCAGAAGAAAGTCGCTAGCATTCGAGTTAACTCGTTTAACTGAGTTGCCATGAAAGAGGTAAAATCAAGAATTTATACTGGGAATAAAAGTAAAGCTTTATCAGCAAGATTATATATCTATAATTAGAAAAAATAAATGGAAAAAGATAAACAACTAACTTGGGAATCAAAAGAAAATAAAATTGAGAATCAAGCAGCTGAGTCAACTCAAATGAATAAAAACTTTTGTTTTCTACATACATTATTACATTGCATGGACTAACGTAATTTTCATCATTATAAACCCTAAAATGTTGGCCACGCTGTTGAACATATCAAATCGGCAATATTTAATAATTAATAAAAAATTACTCATGCAGTAAGCAAAAGCCTAATATTGCGGTATAATATTAACACTTAGCTTTATTAAGGAATAAACTGATTTTATTCCCTTATTATCATGATTTGTACAATATATTTTTTTCCTTATAGTTTTGATTAATTTTATTTATAGTTTTGATTAATTTTATTAATAGGATGATTATCTTTCCATATATTCTATTTCCTTGAATAGAATATATTGAACCTATACATTGTACGCTTTTATTAATATTGAATACCCAAGTTTTTATACATTTCTTCGAGCTTGAGCTCTTTCTCCTATATAAACCTCTCTCATTGTTCAAACTAAACCATAAACTAATTCTTCAGAATAAACCCATTTGGCATTTTTGCAAATACCAAAATATGGCGACGAGAAGGGGAGCTTCTTTGGCTTGCTGCTGCGTCTTTCTTTTGTTTTTCATGGAAAATGTCCATGGTAACCCTAATTATGGAGAGGCTCTTGCAAAATCTTTGTTGTTTTTTCAAGGCCAGAGGTCAGGCAGACTCCCCAAGACTCAACAAATCACTTGGAGATCCAACTCCGGCCTCTCAGATGGCAAGCTTGCCCAAGTATACTCTTCTTTGTCATTCTTTTTTTGACTATTTTTTCGTTGATTTTATTTAAATTTTAGAGTGAATTTTGTTTGGTTGAAATGGAATGATGTGTTCAAAAATTGTATTGCTGGTCGAGTGAGCTCACTTGTGTAACTTCAAAATTTCCTTTTGTTGCTTCTGGTGGTTCGTTGTCCATGATTTTCATGCTTCTTTTCCCTCCAAGTTGAACGGTGGGTTATTAGACTCAAAGTACAAAATTCTTCTTAAAATGTGTTGATAGCGTGTTTAAATTTTTTCACTTTGGTTGATATGGAATGTTTCTTACTTTTTCCGAGTGTAACATAGTGGTTTTTATTTACAATTTTTTTTTTTCCTTAGGTGGATTTAAAACACGTGGACAGGCGATCGATGCTGGAGACAACCGTAAATCAACTTCCAAGGCCGTCGACAACCACGAGCTCTCTGGAGCACACTTGAATACGGCAAACAATTTGGGCTCAAAACTCTCAAACGCTAGAACAGCCATTCGTTGGGCCACAGACTACTTTCTAAAATGTGCCACAGGCCACCCATGGCAAGCTCTACGTTGGCGTGGGTGATCCAATGTGACACAAGGCTGGGAAAGACCTGAAGACAGGGACACGTGAGGTCCGTGTACTCGGTTCACAGAGCAAACCGGCTCGGAGTGGCAGGACGAGACCGCAGCGGCATTGGCGGCAGCCTCCATGGTTTGTTCAGTACAGTTGATCTAAATATTCAAATTTGTTGCTAAGAACAGCCAAACGAAAGTATGCATTTGCAATGCAATACGTGGTGTTATAGTGACTCTCTCGGATCTGCGGTTTGCCCTTTTTATTGTCATATTCCGGAATATATGTAAGTTGAGAGCTGTTTATTCTTTATTTTATTTAATTTTTTCCAATCTCCGACTGGACATTACTAAAGTTTATTATTATGTTGTGGGTGGGTTTTATAAAGAATGGAATTAAGGCATGATTTTGTCGAATTGTTATAGGGAATTATAGGTCACTTTACTTGGGATTGCATAAAGTACAAGGTATTATGATTTTGACGAATCTACTCAACGCCAAGAGGGCCTCAAATTAGGTTTGAAATAGTGAATAATATGTTATAATTTCAATACTGAAATTGAATTCCGTGTTGACCCCTTAGTTGTGGCTTTCAATAATGGGCTCCCAAGTTTGAAAGTCTGGCCTGACCCAGAGACAGATCTAACATTTGGAATGTTTTAAATTTCTTTATAAAAATATGAAAACTCATAAAAAATCTTACCTAAAAACTTGTAAAGACCTTGCAAAAGTTATATTATCCATTATTAAAGATGGTTTTTTTTTTGGTTAGAGTGATAATGTACTTGTGATAATAGCAAACTAATGGGAGAATGAATATGAATATACCGAATTTATTATTGCATATGTTTACAGGATGGCTTATGTGGGGAGCTGAGGCTTTTTAGGGCACAAATGATGTAACTATTCAATTTCCTGAATCCGTAGGAGATGATAGTGGCACTGACATATTCAGCTGGGACAACAAATATGCTGGAGTCATGTTATCCTGGCAAGGGTAAATTTCACTTTATCAAGTCCATTAAAAAAATTGCAATAATCAGAATCTTTTTTTTAATTCAATTTTTGTTGATTAATTTTCCAGCGAGCTTTATGAACAAGGATACAACTTTTGAGCAATATAGACAAGAAGCCGAAAATTTCATGTGACAAGATTTTACCCAACTCGCCGATGACATCTACTCCAATACACACAAGGTAAACTTATAAAATTTCACGCATATCATTATATAGGGCAAATATAATTCTTTTTAGAAGGTGGATTTAATGAATTTACTGAGTTGTAGTAATTGGAAATGCGGTGGGCTCATGTTTAAGCTACCTGAAAGTAACTACAATACGTTACATCCATACATTTCTTATTACCACTTATGCTAAGACATGACAGCCACACAGCACAATTTGACTGTGGCAATTAGGTGGCACCCCAAATCACTTGATAAACCTTGCAAAAAAGACAGGCAAGTTGCTTAATTATTAAATCATCTTCCTAATTGTTTCTGATTTCTTTTCCTCGATCAATTTTATCTTGGGGATTCAGGTGGACTCACATATTAGGTTGAACCCAATCAAAATGTCTTTACATGGTTGGATTTGGACCAAATTTTCAGGGAGATTCATCATAAGAGGGCTCTTCTTTGCCTTCTGATCAAATCACCCACCAAACATAGTTGTGATGAGGTTTCCAACCATTCTTTTATCACGAGACCAACCTAACATTTTAGTTGGAGCCATGTGGGTGGTCAAATCAAAATGACGAGTACCCAGATGATCGCGGTGACTATAGTCACTCAGAACCAAGCACATCATATCAATGCTCTATGTTGGACCATTACATATTTTGCTGGCAACTTCTAGGCTGATGCTATTATATTTTCGTAACTGGTTTATTGGATAGTTAGTTCTTAGCCTGCCTCAACCAAATACGAAGGGCTATGTAAACTATTGGAATATATGATTTAGTTGTGCTTTAATAGGATCTATGTTGATCTTATTATCCAAAAAAAATATTATCATTAGATCAAGATCTAAATCTAGAATCATACAATCATCATGTGTAATCAATGATTGATGTAAAACTCTATATGGAAATGAAACTCAAGTTTTCGCTTATTTTTTATCTAAGAAAGTTCATTCACTATACAATTACAAGCAATATCTTCATTTTTAAAGACAATATTCAAAAGAATCCAATTCAATCAAGACCACCACCAAGTCAATCTTTGATTAAAAACAAACATTAGTCAAATTAGATAAAGTGACATTTCACAATAAAGTTTCTATCAATCTCAGCCAGCGAATTAAATCGTTAACTATACAAGCATAATCATGTCCAAATTAGGGGTGTTAAAAAAATTCAAAAACTGAAAACCAACGAAAAAGATAACCAAAAATGGTTCGGTTACGGTTCAAAGAATTCAAAAAAAACCCAGATTTTAGATTCGGTGTTTCTGGTTTGGGGTGAAAAGTGCAAAAGGTTAACCGAAAACCGG